TTTGTTCTCAGCTATTGTTTTCGGTGCAATTGAAAATGTTTTTCTTTTTAATTTCTCTTTCTCCTGCTTCATTATTTGTGTATAGAAAGACAACAGGTTTCTGTACATTGATTTTGTCTCCTGCAGCTTTACTGAATTCACTTATCAATTATAATAACTTTTTGGTGGTATCTAGGGTTTTCTATAATAGTATCACGTCATTCGCTGATAGTGCCAGCTTTACCTCTTCTTTACTAATTTGGATAATTTTTATTTTTCTTGTCTGATTGCTGTGGCCAGGACATCCAATATTATGTTGAAGAAGAGTAGTGAGAGTGGACCTTGTCTTGTTCTTCATCTGGGAGAAAAAAACTGTTTTTCACCATTGAGTGTGATGTTAGTTGTGGATTTTTCATATATGGCTTAGGTATTTTCCTTCTATACCTACTTTGTTGAGAATTTTTATCATGAATGGGTATTGGGCTTTATCAAATGCTCTTTTCTGCACCTATTGAGATGATCATGGGCTTTTTGTTTTTATCTTTTATATTGTTAATGTGATGTATCCTGTTGCTTGATTTGCAAATATTAAGCTATCCTTGCATCCCAGGAATATATCCCACTTGATTATGGTCAATTATTTTTTTAATTTATTGTTGCATTCAGTTTGCTAATAGTTTATTGAAGATTTTTGTATGTATGTTTGTCAGAGATTTGGACTGGCAGTCTTCTTTTTGTAGTGTCTTCTAGTTTTGGTATCAGAGTAATGCTGGCTTTATAGAATGAATTTGAAAGCTTTCTTTCCTCTTCTAGTTTTTGGAATAATTTGAGAGGAATAATTTGAGAATAATAGGTATTAACTCTTCTTTAAATGTGTAGTAGAATTCATCTTTGAAGGCATCTGGTTCTGGAATTTTGTTTGTTGGGAGATTTTTGATTACTACTTAAACTTCATTGCTAGAAATTGCTCTGTTCAAATTTTCTTTTTCTACTTCAGTTTTGGTAGGTTATGTTTCTATGAATTTATCCACTTATTCTAGGCTTTCTGATTTGTCAGCATATAGATTTTCATAATATGCTCTTATAATCCTTAGTATTTCTGCGGCATTAGTTTTTATTTCTCCTTCTGATTTGATTTGGGTCATCCTGTTTTCTTGAGTCTGGCTAAAGGCTTATCAATTTTAGTGATCTACTCAAAGGTAGGGTTCACTGAACTTTTTTTTTTTTGTCTTTTTCATTTATTTCTTCTCTAATTTTTTAAAAATGTTTTCCTTCAACTAGCTTTAGGCTTTATTTATTCTTTTTCCCCCTAGCTCTTTTAAGTGGAAGGTTAGGTTGTTTATCTCAAAACTTTCCTTTTGAGGCAGGCCAGTATTGCTATAAATGTTTCTCTTGGAACTGCTTTTGCTGCATCCTGCAGATTTTGGAACAATTTTCTCTTTGATTTCTTGGTTGACCCTTTCATTACTTAGTAGCATGTTGCTAGTTTGCATGTATTTGTGTTATTTCCAGATTTATAAATTGTAATTTATTTCTAGTTTCCTACCATTGTGGTCAAAAAGGTCCTTGATATGATTTCAATTGGGACTTTTATCTTGGAGGAAGCTTTTAAATTACTGATTTAATTCATTACTTTTAATTTATTCTTTTTTGTTTTGTTTTGTAATTCAGTCTTGGAAGACTGTTTCTAGAAATTTGTCCATTTCTGCTAGATTTTCCAATTTGTTAGCAAACATTTGTAGTAGTTTCTTATGATCCTTTGTATTTCTATACTATCAATTGAAACTTCTTTCATTTAAGATTTTATTCATTTGGGACCTCTTGTTTTCTTTCTTAATGAGCCTGGCTAAAAGTTATCAATTTTCTTCGAACAATCATCTTTTAGTTTCTTGGATGTTTTCTATTGTTATTTAAATCTGTATTTTATTTATTTCTGCTCCAATCTTTTTATTTCCTTACTTCTACTTATTTTAGCCTTTGTCTTTTTCTGGTTCCTTTAGGTGTAAAGCTGGAATTCTCTTCCCCAGATTTTTCTTATTTCTTCAGTCAGGCTTGCATTGCTGTGAAGTTCCTTCTTAGAACTGTTTTTGCTGCATTCCACAGATTATGTTTCCATTTTAATTTGTCTCAAGGTAGTTTTTAATTTACTTCTTTGATTTCCTCATTGAACTATTGGTTTTTCAGTAATATGTTATTTATAGACCATGTTTTTGTTTTTTCGAGTTTCTTCTTGTGATTGTTTCATACTGTTGTTTGAAAAGATGCGTGATATTATTTCAGTCTTCTTGAATTTATTGACACTTGTTTTTTGTGCAAACATCATCTATCAGGCAGAATGTTCCATATGCATTGCAAAAAATGTATATTATGGAGATTGGAGATGAAAAGTTCTGTATAATAAATCTGTCTGGTCTAATGTGTATTTAAGGCTACAGTGTCCTCAGTGTTTTGGGTGTGAATGATTTATCCCATTGATTTAAGTGGAGTATTATAGTGAGTCCCTATATTATTGTCTTAACATCTATTTCTCCCTTTATTAATCTTTGTTCTATGTAATTAGGTTCTATTTTGGGTGCATTAATATTTACACATTTACCATCTTCTTTGATCTCTTTTTTATTATGTAATTTCCTTGTCTTTTATTATAATCCCTGTTTTATAGTCTATTTTTTCTTATATAAGTATTTTTAGCTTTCTGTTTCAATTTGCATGGAATACATTTTTCTATCTTTTCACTTTCAGTTGTTTTTTTAAATCTGAAGTATCTTTTAGATATCATATGAATGGTTCTTGTTTTTTTATTCACTTAGCAACTCTGTGCTTTTTGATGGGAACATTTAGTCCATTTACAATTCAAGTAATTTTTAACAAGTGTGTACTTATAGACATTTTTCTGTTTTGTTTTCCAGTTGTTTATGTAGTTCTTCTTTGGTCCTTTCTTCTCTTGGATTCTTCCCTTATGATTTGATGTGTTTCTTTATTTTTTATGTATTGAAGTTTTGGGTGTGGTTATCATTAGGTTCATATATATATTGACCTTTATCTGTGGCAGTATGTTTTAAGCTGATAGTTGCTTACGTTTGGTCACATTCTAAAGCACTACATTTTTACTCTCCCTAATATATTGTATGTTTTTGATGTCTTATATTACATCTTTTTATCATTCTTGATTGCCTCAAATGTATTTTTACTTCATTTATTGTATTTTTAAACTCTGATTGGTTCTTATATTTTTAAATTCTTTGTTGAAGTTCTCAGAGGCTTTATCCATTTTTCTTCCAAGTTCAATAAGCGTCTTTATAATACATTTAAAATGTTTGGTATAATTGACACACTATGTTAGTTTCAGGTGTACAACTTAGTAATTTGACAAGTTAATACATTATGCTATGCTCCCCCAAAATATAGCTACCATCTGTCTCATTACATCATTATTACAGTATCCTTGTCTCTATTTTTTATGCTCTGTTTTTTATTCTCATGACTTCTTCACAAATGGATCCCTGTATCTCCTCCCCTTGATTCATTTGTCCACTCCCCCCACCTTCTCAACTGGTAACTTTCAGTTCTCTGTATTTATAGTTCTGATTCTGCTTTTTGTTTATTAATTTTTTAAGATCCCATTCATGAGTGGAATCATATGGTATTTGTCTTTCTCAGAATTATTTTACTTGGCATAATACCCTCTAGGTCCATTCCACATTGTCTCAAATGGCATGAGGCCACCCTCTTTATAGGTGTGTAATATTCCATTGAATATGTGTACATAATTTCTTTATTCTTTATACATTTTCTTTATTCATCCATCTGTTGATGGACAACTAAGTTGCTTTCATTTCTTAGTTATTGTAAATAATTCTGCAATAAACATAGAGGTGCATATATCTTTTTGAGTTAGTGTTTTTATTTTTTCCTGATAAATACCCAATAGAAGAATTACTGTATCAGATGGTATTTATGTTCTTAATTTTTTGAGGAAACACCTTACTGTTTTCCACAATGACAGTACCAATTTGTACTCCCACCAACAGTGTATGAGGGTTCCATCAGTATGTCTTCTTTGATAAAACATCTATTCAGGTTTTCGGCCCATTTTCTGGTTGGAGTTTTTTGGTGTTAGGTTGTATTAGTTCTTTATATATTTTGGGTATTAACCCATTATTGGGTATATCTTTTCTCATTTAGTAGGTTGGACTTTTTTTTGTTGATGGTTTCCTTTGCTGTGCAAAGGATACATCTATTTTGATGTATCCCAAATATGTTTATTTTTGTTTTTGTTTCCCATGATTAGGAGATATATCTAGCATAATGCTGCTATGGCTGATGTAAGAGAAATCACTGCCTGTTTTCTTAAATTTTTAAAGTTTTATGGTATAGTTTAATCATTACTTTAAACTTTTTATTAGGTAAATTATCTTTTTCCTCCCTGTGGTTTTATCTTATTCTTTCATTTTGAGCATATTCATTTGTACCCTCATTTTATTTGAATTTCTCTATTTCCATCAATTAGGCAGAACATCTATCTTTCCTAACCTTTAAGAAATGGACTTAGGAGAATCCTGTTTAGAATGTGTGTGTCTGAAATATTTGGCTGGACTGTTGGACCTGGAATCAGTATGAGCTGTCCCATGGTACTATGGTGGCTCCAGAAGGCTGGCAAGAGTGGTATGATCTACAGACTGAGGCTTCACTTGGATGGCCCTAGCAGTCTAGCTATAGCACTTGGGTCCTGCTCCTATCCACATTATCAAAGTGGAGGAGGAAAGTAAATGTAATAAAAAGGCCTTTATCTGTGGCTTTGACCTCAGAAAGAGTTGTACTAGTTTCCTACCTGATTGGTGGATGGATTTCCTTTGTTTATAGTTTTCACTATTTAAACTACTTTTTTTTTCTGGGTTTGCACCTGGATGGGCAAGTTGTCACATCCTTGGGGGTGTTCCTATCATCTCTGTGTCTTTGTCTTTCCTACACTTTTCTATATGGTCCCTCTTTCATTTGTTGTACTAAAGCTATCTACTCACAACTCAGTTCTTCAGAAGAAATTGCTCTCTATATAGGTGTAGATTCGTTGTGTCCATGACAGGAGATTTCAGGGTTTTCTGTGCTGACATCTTGCACAATACCCTAGGAGCACAATTTATAAAAGTGTTAATTGGTGACTGCACATATGATCCTATATTATTTCACTTATTCCCCTTAACAACTTAACAAGATGGGTACTAATATTATACCCATTCTGCATTTGGAAAAACTAAGACCTAAGTTGGTCACAAAATTGACTATGTGGTCACCCATTTGACTAAACAAGTGCTGAACTGGGATCTGAACTCATGGACATTTCTCAAGCCCAGATAAAGAGCTGATGAAATTACCTGCCCATAATAATTACTACTATTTATTACTGTCAACTAGGATACATTTCAGGTTCCTTACAATTAAAACAGTTTAACTATATAGTCATCAGTGGGTTTGATAGTACACTTACATCTCAGTTACCCATGTCAGAAGCATTTCTAAATCTGAGGAGGAAATGACCATATTTTTTGTATATCTCATCCTTCTGGGTAGTAAAAATAACTCTGGTTTTCTTTGACATCGTTAAATTCTATTATTCTTTAGAATAAGAACAGCTGCATTCTCTTCAGCTTCAGATCTGTTTTACACCTCCTATGACTATGAATCTGTACTACTCATTCTCTCATGATGGGGTATCTTCCTTTTTGATCTTGACTGTAATCTCCCTCTCTCAAAATATTCCTGTTTTGCATTCTTATTTGGCATCTTCTTTTATATATTAGAATTCTTCTGGCTTCTTAATAAGCCAGAATATTTAAAAAATAGCTCTCAAATGTCTTCACTTGAGGGGAGATATCAGTGGTAGTTACAAAACGTGTTTTATTCCTAAACCTCTGAGATTTCAAGCATTGCTGTAGACATTTTTTGCATTAGAACTTTCTTGTGCCTAGGAAAACACATGAAGCAGAGGTAGAACACTGCTGAGTAATAGAAGTTAAATGTAGACAAAGCCATTACCCCATCACTAAAATTTGGATTCTCTGCTGATCAGTTTGGTTTTGATTTAATGGACCAGATTGGGAAACACAACAAGCCCATGAATCACTAGGAACTGAATGTTATTCTTCTCTCTTTGCCCCCATGGAATTCTGTCTCATAGCTCAGACAAGGTATAGAGGAGAATTCCTTCAAGGCTGCAAAGCAGTCCATTTAACTCTAGGCCCTGAGAGAGCCTTGAGTCAGCTTGCTGCAGATTCCACCAGTGAGCTTTGACTTCTCAGCAATCTCTCTCTTGAGAGGCTTCCCAGAAATCCATCCGTTCAGCTCACCCCTGAATGCACTTTGAGCAACTGGCTGCCTCTCCTGTAAGCACGTTATTAATGGTCTCTTTTCAAAAGCAGAGATAGTGCCCTGGAAAATGTGATATTGATTTTCCCCTCCTTTCTCACTGTTTCAATCACTGCTCGTTTGAATGGCTTTCATTTTTAGCAACAACAAGAGAATCTTCGAAGAAAAGTGGTTTATAGGATCAGCCTGAAATAAAATCACTGCTCAATTTAAGCTCTGAAAAATACTATTGATATTTTAATAGAAGTTTGGCGAGCCTATTGCCAGCTCAATAATAGCTACAAGGAGTTTATACACAGAAATCATACTTAGGGATCGTTTTATTTCTTAGGCAGTATGTGTTAACAGCAAATAACGGTTTAAACCTTCACTCACTTCCATACTGTATACATCAAGAGCCTCAAGAGTGTGGAAATGTTCAGAGTACTTCAAAAACGGGTGAAAGACTTTCTACAACTCAAATGATTTGTCTCTAATTGGCCCTTGTTGAGGAAACCTTGGTTGGTTTTCTCTTAAGCTCTTTATTTTCCTATGTTGGCATCAGGAAATCCCAACAATTTTATAGCTGAAAGACATAAGGATAGTGTCGTAAATGGGTTTGGTGTATGGATGAGAAAAGCAAAGCTCATTTCACGGTGTGATTTAATGGAGGTGGCACAGTCTCAAATTCCTGTCCAGGACTCCCTCTCTGTGGGCACCTGGAATTCTACCTACCTGAACTTTGTTATAGTTCTGACTTCTCTCCTCCATTTTCCTCCCATAGTCTCAAAAATACCCATGGATCTTCTCCATGTTTAATCCTCATATGCTGTACAAATATACTCACATATGAGACACACTAGTGATAAAATATTATTTGGTATATTACTTAGAATATTACCTTCAAGGATCATGTCAAGGACCACCTCTTCCAGGAGACTCATGTGTGACATCAGTCCCTATCAATGTCAGTCTTTTCTGTCAGCCCCTGTAAATCCTTGAAAATGCCTTGATTTGCCCTTAATTATTCTATGTGTGAACAAAGATTTCTATTGAGGTATTTAAAATAAACATTGATTGGGGCGCCTGGGTGGCTCAGTAGGTTAAGCATCCGACTTGGGCTCAGGTCATGATCTCACGGTTCGTGGGTTCGAGCCCCGCGTAGGCTCTGTGCTGACAGCCAGCTCAGAGCCTGGAGCCTGTTTCAGATTCTGTATCTACTTCTCTCTCTGATCCTCTCCTGCTCATGCTGCCTCTCTCTCTCTCTCTCTCTCAGAAATAAATAAAAAACATTTAAAAAAACTAAAAAAAATAATAAAATAAATATTGATTAAATGAATAGATTTACTATACACTATTTACTATGTGACTAATAAATGTGTAAGACACTATGCTGTGTGTTAAGAGGAATACAAGTAACAATAAAACATATTTTCCTCTATGTTTAATGCAGATGCATGTCTTAAATGTAGAAGAATTTTCACAGGAAGAGATTGGTATAGAAGATAGTAATCAGAAGGAAAAACAAGAGCAGAAGAATTTAGGGCTTGTCAATATAGTGGAATTAGGATATTTGGGAAAATGTAATGAGATTTAATTTCAAATATGTGATTAATGGAGAAGAAATAGGATGAGAAATAAAATGTTTCTGAGTTTGGAGGATCACAGCTATGCTTTTAGTATATTATACAGACAGGGGAAAAATCTTGATTAGGATATCCATTCATTCAGTCATGCAATAAATATTAATTGGGAACATCCTATATGTAAGGTACTATTCTAGGCTCCAGGGATACTTTGTTTTTGTGTTTTTTTTTAAATGTTTTATTTATTTCTAGGAGAGAGAGAGACAGTGTGAGCAGGGGAGGGTCAGAGAGAGAGGGAGTCACAGACTCTGAAACAGGCTCCAGGCTCTGAGCTGGCAGTCTGCACAGAGCCCGACGTGGGGCTCGAACCCACGAACTGCGAGATCATGACCTAAGTGAAAGTCGGACGCTTAACCGACTAAGCCACCCAGGCACCCCAAGGCTCCAGGGATACTTTGAAATGATAGGGTTAGGAAGCTATTACATCGAATAACAGACTAACATGATTGTTATGTAAATAAAGAGCAAGAGTTAGATTAATTAAATGTTGGAGAAATTGTGCCTGATTGAACATGAAAGCAAAAGAGCCAGTATTACATAAAACATTAGAATGTCATTAATAGGAGGGGCAATGAGAGGAATTTACTGGAGGTCTATGTAGGTAGAGGACAAACACTGGTGAATTATATTTGGGCCATGGTACTAGGGATAGGATATTGGATGGAAAATTTCTCTTTTAGGATTTTCCTTTTTATTCTTCCATAGAGTTGTTTGATTAGATAGGTCTGTAACCAAAGAAGCTGCCTGACCTGCTTTGTGCTGGCATTAATGCTTAACTTCTAGGAAGATGTAGAGAGCCACTGTCATCAGAAACCAGGCCAACTCCCATGGGAAAGGAAGTGCCTTAGTCTCATTAGAAAAAGTCTTGCAAGTTCCACATGGCCAAGCACCTCCTACCAGGAGCCTACACTGACTGAGGGGATATCCTTATAGTAACAAATGGTACAGGATTTGCCTGGCCTTTTCTTCTTTGTGCATATCTTTCTTGGGGACCATGAAGGAAAATAGTTCTGGCAACTAGTCAATCTCATTTTTTTTTCCCCAGCAAAGGGGAGCCTAATATAATCTGGCTATTAGAAGCAGGGTTCCTGCTTCCTGTTTCCATAGTTAGCCAGATCTGATACAGGACCTAAACAACTCACTATCAATAGGCCCCACAAAATTTTTTTCCACCCAGTAACTAGGTCAGTACCTAAAATGTGGACAAGTAATCATAGGATAAGTTTCTTACCTTTATGAAAACCACACCCTTGGTGTAACTTAATACACTGGTTGGGAGGAGATTTGATGGCTAGGAAGACCAACACAAATTTAGAATGGCCACTTCATTAATTACCTGAAAACAAACTGGAGGAAATATATTAAATCCAAACTATTCTCACCAATAGAAAATAAATTCAAATTACATTTCTTCCCTATTTGACATCTATGATTACAGACATTATGACATTGATTCATGAACCTGAGAAGTAGAATTTCTGTTGTTTTAAAGTCTCAGGACATGAACTCAGTATTGAATTTTTGAGCTTATTTTTGTTATTTTCCAAGATAAATATGAATAACCTCATTTTTAATTATTTTTAATTATACTTTTCTTCAGGGTATTGACTTATCCTTAAATGGATAGCTTCTCATTGCCTACAGAATTTGTTACAAACATCTTACTTTAACTGCATCAAAGGCCTTATAATATTTGAGCACGATCTGTATTTCACTTATTACTATGATAAATATTTATTGATGTAGATGTCATAAATATCTTTTCTCACAGACCTCAATAGAATCATTTCATCTTCAAACATTTTAAATATTGGGCTGGCTGTGGAGTAAATGGAAACTCTCTGCAATATTCTTGCAACTTTTCTGCAAACCTAAAACTATTCTAAGATATACAGCTTATTAGTATAAACTTAAAATATAAAATATAAAATTTATTAAATATTAAAAACAAAAACTGTATGAATTAACTTGAGGCAAGCAATCTGTTACAAAAGCAAAAATGTCCCTAACCAAATTTACTAAGCGTGTAAGGATATGATGATGTGTGTAATAGTCAAGACAGCCTAGGTTAGCAAACCAGCACCAAACCTTAATGCTTATTAGAAGAAAAGGACTTTAATATGTTCAAAATAAAGACAAAAATAAACAAATGGATTAAAAGAAACTACATTTCAATAGTAACTAATATCTATAGGAATAAGATATGTATTTTATAAGTGAAGAATATCATATATAAGATAAAAACCCTACAAATTGATCTCATGGCATGTTGGACACAGTAGGCATTTGAAAGTTAGTTTAATTAAAAACATCTAAAGTGAATTGCAGATAGGAAAACATAAAAGGAGAAAAAGAAACAAATGGAGGCATTAAACACATTCAAAATTTAAATCGTATATGAAATTGGAGTACTAAAAGTGAACAAGAATATGCAGAAGTAGTAAGCAAAATGGAAAATGACAGAATTTTTCAATGTTGATTAAGTATAATCTTGAGTCTTATTGAACCTCCCCCCGCAAAAGAATATAAAGAAAATCAGCAGGTGTACACATACACACACTCCTTAGTAAAACTGATGAAACCCAAAGGAAAATAAAACAGCATCTAGAGGTCAAACAAAAGGCACTTGTTTTCATGAGAATGTAATAAGTCTGTTAAGCCACAATAAGAGGGTTACATTATTAAAAGAATCATTGAAAGTATAAGACAGTTGATTAGCATCTTTAAAAGACTAAGAAGGAATAAAACCTGCTAACTTACACTTCTATATTTAAGGAAAATATAATTAAAATAATAAACAAATGGAAAATTTTAATAGTGGACCAGAAATAATGGTAACACTAAAATAAGTTTGTCAAACAGAAAGGATCCCAGGCAGAAAGATGGATGTACAAAATGGAGAACACAAATTAAATACATAGGTAAAAATATTAACTGCATAAAACCAAATTAAATAAATATAGGTGGAACTAAAATTCATGACAATATAAAGCTAAAGGAGGTGAACATGTGAGATTAAATTTTTATATATTATACATTATTTAAAAGGCAGTAAAAGTAAATACTCTATTAGGCAAAAAAAGTTAAAAGTATGTATTTTAAATTTTGGGTTAATCAACAGAAGAGTAATAATACCAGGTTTGAGAAACCCAGTCTTAAATGCAAATATTGGAAAATAAAGAAGGCTGAATGTCAATGTGAATTAGCAGCTAATTAAAAAGAAAATTAGAAGGAAAATGGGAAGGAATCAAACTGATAATGAAATAGAATATATTTCTATTTCAATAGGTTATAATAATGAGAATCAAGAGTCAAATATTGGTTCTTTGAAATGATTGATAAAATTGAAAACCTGCTATTAGGAGTGATCAAGAAAAATTTCAGATTATATACAAATAAAAAATATAACTAATTCTACGTACCTTAAATAAGAGGTTATGATGAATAGCATTTACTAATACATTTGATAATTTGGATAAAAGGAATACATTTCCCAATTAAGTGATCACACTTAATGATCACAGAAGAAAAAAACAGAAGATCTAAATAGCCCAATATCCATCAAAGAAACTAAAACCGTTATTTAAAATTTCAAAAAAATCCTAGGCTCAGATAACTTTAAAGGTGAATATTAAATATTTTAGGAAAAAAAATAACACTTGTATTACATAATTTCTTCCACAGCATAGGGGACTACATCATAACTTTTTATGATATAAGCATAACCTAGATATCAAAACTAGACAAACAGTAAAAGAAAGGCAAATTATATAACTGTCTCTTATAATCATAATTATAATCATAGATTCAAATATCCTAAAAATAATGTAAACACAAACAATTCAGAACTATAATAAATATATAACACATCATCAATTAAGCTTCATTTTAGAATTTTAAGGGTATACATGGGGGTGCCTGGGTGGCTCAGTCAGAAGCATCTAATTCTTGATTTTAGGTTACGTCATGATCTTGCATTTTCCGAGTTCAAGCCCAAGTCTCCTTGGGATTCTCTCTCTCTCAAAATAAACAAACATTAAAAAAAATAAAAAGACTTGTAAGGGTGTTTTAAATTCAAAATTAAGGTAATTCAGACACTAATATGAAAAGAGAATACTTGCATGATTATCTCTGTAGACTCATAAAGAAGACCTTTAGCTAAAATATCTATTTGTGATTTTAAAAACTTTACCAAAGAGAGGGAATATAATTAACTGATAAAGGACACAAAAATTTATGGTAGACCTATTTAATGATAAAATATTGATAGCTTTCCTCCTGAGATTGGAAATAAGATATGAACACAAATTATCCCTTCTCAATATGTTAAGACTTTCTAACAAAGTGATAAAACAACAACAAATGAAAGTCATGATGATTGGAAAGAAAAGTGTCAACAATTTGGACAAGGTAACTGCATATGTAAAATATTCGAGAATCTACAAAATACTATTAGAATTACTGATTTATCTAGCAACTTTGATAAATTCAAAGAATTGTACTCCTCAATATCAACAAAAAGAAAACCAAGTTAAAAACAATAATATAATTTATAATTACAGAAAAATCAACATCCCTATTCTGAAAACTATATTATAATAACGAGCAAGTCAAAGAAGACTTATATTAATACCATTTTCACTTCTTAGATAACTCAAAATGATAAAGTTGTCAGTCTCAGCCAATTTATAGCTTTAGAACAATCTCAATACAAAAAGAAAGAAAACTTGGAGTGACATAACAAGTTTTGAAAATTCATATGGAAATGCAGCGCCCAATAACTGGTGAAGCAATCTTAAAGAACAAAACTGGGCGAATTAAATACCAACATATCAAGATGTGTTATAAAACTAACTTCAACAAGGTAGTATTGGTGTTGGTTTAATTGAGTATAAGGTAAAAATGTATTTTGATCTCTACCTATACTCAAAAATTCCTTGTAGTTCAATCTCAAATTATAAGAGTTAAATCAAGAAATTTTTTAGAATAAAACATAGGAAAACATTTTATTGTTAGATTCAGAAGTTTTCCTTAAAGAGTGCATAGTATGTTCTCATTAATGGAAAATAAAGATTAATTGTGCTTTATTAAAATGTATATTCAACAAAAGATTTGAAGTTAGAGTACATAAAGGGATTCTACTTCTCAGGAAGAAAAAGAACAACCAAATAAATAGTGGGGAATACATTTTAAAATAGATTCTTCATAAAAGAGGACATTTAAATGTCCAACAACAAATTACAAAGTTGCTGAACTCCATTAGTCTTCGGAAAATGCAGATCAAAAGTACACTGAAATACCCCTGACACATGCACAGAATAATTAAAGTAAAAAAGGCAATTCTCTGTATTGAAGATAAGGAGCCCCAGAAATCTCATGCACTGCTAGTGAGACGGTAAATTGGTATACCCACTTTAGAAAACTCATTGATAGCATCTAAATACACACATTTTCTATAACAGTACAATTTAACTCCTGGTTATATTTTCAACAGAACAATGAACATTTGCTTAATAAAAGATATGCACAATAATGTACATAGCAGTGCTATTTATAACAACAACAAAAACTATAAACTACTAAATGCCCTTCAGCTGCAAAATGGATATGTCTATTTTGGCATATATATACAAACTAATAATATCCTAGAATAAATAAATATGTACATATACATAGAACTATAGATGAATCTCACAAACATAATGTTTAACAAAGGACTCTCAGGACAAATAGTATGTATGGTACAATTCATTTTACATGAAATACAGCAAATAGAAAAATTAATTTCTGGTATAAGAAGTCAGGATATTGGTTACACTGAGCAAGAGAACTTGTAGGATACTGGTACTATTTTCTTTGTTAATCAGGGAGCTAGTTTTTATGAATTTGTTCAATTTGGAGAATTATATTTTCTCTTTGCATGTTACACTTGAATAAATGTTAAAGGTATAATATAGTACACAGAAGGCAAAATATATATATATGGACAAATACCAAAAAAGAAATTAAAACAGACAAATTAAGCGGTGGCTGACTGGCTCAGTCAGAGCAAGTGGCTCTTGATCTTGGGGTTGTGAGTTTAGCACCACATTGGGTGTGGAGATTAATTAAAATAATTTAAAAAAACAGGCAAATTATATACTATGCAAATAAAAACAACAGTGGGATGTCTATATTTCTAACTTAAAATATGAGCAACAGTGTGAACAAAGATGAAAGTATTTCTTGTGGTGTGTGAGTGGCTCAGTCAATTAAGTGTCTGACCCTTGACCTCAGCTCAGGTCATGAACTCATGGTTCATGA